TTCCGAAGTAATTATCGTTATATATACATACAAAAAAAATGTTTGGAGCTGAAGCAACCCCCCCTCCACAAAAAAATAAAAATTAACCTCCCATTAGTGCGCAAGACTAACACCTTTTGCATTTGGGCAACACTAATGTTGGATTTCATCAGGAAGGAGCTGCATGTGGCCGTGGTGCAGCTCGGACGCTATGCGGGCTTCTGTCCATACATTTATTGAATTTTTTCTAACTTATTTTAAATGAATGATACACTCGATACACGCCAGGAACTTGCTGATTGTCATTTATTTTTGTCGGAAGAAACTTAACACAGATGACTTATAATAGATCACAACTTTTTAATTCCTGAAATATTAGGTTGATAATAGATTTATCTGGACCAAATTTGTTCCGAGGGAATCTACTTCATTCATTTTTCCGACTGTTCCATTGTTTTCAGTAAGTAATTTTCAGTTAAAATCAAGAAAGCATTTAAGTTTCTTTTGTAAGAAGTTATTGAATCATCACAGATTTATGTAAAATAAATTCTTTTTTTATAGCTATTGAATATTTTATTATTTTTTTATAATTATATTACATTTTTCTTTTATATCGTTTGAATATTTGAAATACTTTATCCTCGGGGCTAGCGAATTCCTGAGCCTGGTGACTTGTGCCTTCGCTATATTTAGACGACGGGTCAAGAACCAGTCCTGTGCTACAATAAAAGGACCAAATCGGGGTTTTTGTCCTCGTCAAGACGAAGCCCCGCCGGAACAGCGTCAGAAAGGACTCGCTCTATTCCCTGAAGAACAGCGAAACATTCATTCATCCAAAATTTCAATTTATGATTCGATTAATGCCAATAATCCATGATTCAGAGTGTATTTTTTTTTAATTTTAAAAGATAGCACATGATAGATAAATGGTGGCTCCGTCTTATTACGACATTTCCGTTTTCTCCTCTACATAAGAAAACAAACGAAGGCATAGATCATCTGAATAGTACGTGATCCTGATTTTATTTTCGGTGAAAGTACAATGACTATTGGAAAAGAGGCGATATTCGTTACCGGGATCTCCGTGGACAATACTTCCTCTGACGCTGAGACATCAGTATGACAAGTAGTGTTGCCCAAATGCTGGACCGAGACGAGTCTTGGTCTTGCAAACTCAGTTTTGGTCTTGCGCAAGAGTCTCGCAATGGTCTTGCAGTTACCGATTAGCTAAGTAATATAGAGATATTGCTGTATTTTTTTAGATAGAGGAAATCTAAATAAGTCCGAATAAAAAAAATAGAAGAGTTAAATGTATATTGTTGTTGTTGTATACCAATTCTTTGCATATAGTATCTAAAATTGTCAAGCATTAGTGACTATTTTGCCTTAATTTTTATTTTAAAAAATCGATAATTTTACCAGTCTTGGTCTTGATCTTGCAAAGTGAGTTTGAAGACCGATTTTGGGCAACACTAATGACAAGCCCATATATCGGCATGCGTTTCATCTTCTCCTGTGTTTCTCTAAATAGAAATAAGGTTATATGGCGAATATGAAATAATCTTAAACATTTAATTTGTATCTATAGTTACGTCAAGAAATGATCATGATGTATTTAGAAATAATTCATCATTTAAATACTGAGTCATTTTATACTTTTTTATAAACAGAAACACAGAGCTTATTTTAAAGAAGAAATTGTATATAGGTTCATTGTGTATTCAGTGTAATTATAATGCTTACCACTGTATAGTTTTAAGTGTTTTCTTATACGTTATATATTGTCTTCTATTGTTTTTATTTAGGGCAGACGTAATCTTTCAATTTTATACTATTTTGTTTTTCTAAAGAGACTTTGTCCCAGAATAAAGTTATTTTCTATATATAATCAATTACTGTAAATTTTTCATGTTCATGTTTTATTGTCATTGTAATCTGTGATTAGGCGTGATATTATAATGGCTACCGCCAGTGAAGTTGTAACTGTAACCAAAGCCTTCATTATCACTTTCGTGTCGGGTTCTCTTTGACCCCCGACATTCGAAGACGATACGTTCATGAAGAATGGAAATCGTGTTTAACGGCTATTGATTATGTGTGTTCGGTTATCCGGCAACATATGGCGTAATGTACTTTGCCTTAATTCATTCTGTGTTTTCCTTACTTCAACTGTTTTGTAAACTAATTATGTTTAAAAAATCTTCAAACTAATTTTAAATTTAACTATTTTTGTTTTTGTCCAATATAGAGAACGTTTACTTAAGAAACAACACTAGGGAAAGTTATCTTAGTATTGAGGCGTTGGTCACCAGCGTTTTAAATAGTACAAATCACAATAAAATAAAATAATTTTTTGGAAAAAAATATCTCTTAAGGTATTATTGTTCGTGTAATTACATTTTTTTTAAATTTCTTTATTCAGAAATATTACATTCTGTCACAATCAAGGACATTTGTAATAGTGTTCAGAGAGCACACTCAAACTCTATTTACAATAAATAATGCAGAAACTAATATTACTAAAAATAGATGTATATAAACAAAAGAACTAAACTAATCAAAATAACAACTAAAACACATGCATACTATACAATATTTACAGAATCCATTCATTCAGAAGAACTCCGAGCCAAGCCTTTCTCACCACTCGAGGCAGAAAAGGCGGGACTCTAGGAGATCCCAGCGCCTCGCACTCAGCCGCATTACTGGTATTAAGAACCAGTAGAGGCTGAGGAGAGGCGCTATAATCTACACATACTTGGCTTGAATGGAGGATCTGGCCATTGCCAAAACTCCAATATATGTTTATTCACTAAAGGTCTCTGGGCCACTGCCACTTCAACCTTCGAGGAGGATTGTAGGGATGGGCGGTGCTGGATAGGGATTGTGCCGGGGGGTTTCGATGATAAGTAAGGTTCTGATGAAATTTGGAAAAATTTTCTGTTATAAGGTTTAGGGGATATTAAGGTCATGGTGTAGGGTTTTGTTGGTTACATAGAACGGAGCATCAACTATTATTCGAAGGACTTCAGATTGAAAGGATTAGATACGTTTGATGTTATAAAATTTTACTGTCCCCCACAGTTCAAGTCCGTATGTCCATATAGGTTTCAGGATTGTCTTGTAGATAATAATTACATTTAAAAGGACTTTAGGAATCACTTAAACACCATTTCATATAGGTAGTTTGTTTATTTCTTTTTTTCCAAACTAATTATCGTTATTTTTATGAAAAAAATCTTTCGGGCTGAAGCTCTTCCTCCCCCCCTCCAAAAAATTAAATCTTGGATCCGCTAGTGAATAACCCAAAACAAACAGGGTTGTAGTTGGTTAATGCGGGCAAAAAATCCGCAGTCTGTAATGCCAACAGAAAAAATATGTATTAAAAATTGAAAGATTTTTTCCTAAAAAACTAAAATTATACGTCAGCTTAGCAGAACGTTCTATCAGGGCGCAGAGATCTAGATCCGCCGCTGCTATGGGTTTTAATGTCACAGGAAATTATCATGTATATCATATGTTTATGTGAAGGGAGATGTATGCGATATTACGCACGCGTCGTTAATTCACTTTAGTAGTCTTTAATTCGCCCTATCTTCCGTGATCTGCGTTGGAGCCCGACGACTTCCCATCCGCTAACTACGTGCCCGTCGATACTAATGCCTACCCTCCAAAGAGCTATCTGAAAGTTATGACACCTACTTAGCTCCGATGGATAGGCATGTCCGCCGATTTTTCACGGCCTTTTTGATGAACAGTGGCAATAGGTTACGTGCTGTACAGGTTGTTCTCCGCACCAATTATCATCAATTGTTGAAGTTACCCGCTAATTTTTCAGACCATTAATTGTTTCTAACGGCATCATCTTGTTTAACGTTTGAACGAAATGTATTGTTCTTTGATATCACTGGAGAAGATATGCCCTATGCAATCGATTTTATTGTCGTAAAAAATGCTTTGTAAGCTTCCATTTTCTCATAAATATCGTTAATATGGGTTTTCAACTCCATGGAAAATTTCGGTTTATCCTAATGTATTTTGATGACTTTTCAGAAACTGTGACATCGCATAGCTTAGTTTAATTTATAAATATTTTTTTTTAAATAATACTGAAAGGTACTATCGCAGCACTATATAGTTCGTTAGACATTTATTTACTAACTTTTACCGATGTATTGCCTGTAGGAATTTTCTTTGCACTGCCCGAGAAAGTATGGTCGCTTTCTTGGTATTGACCAAGACTTCATTTTGATCGAGAACCTGATGGGAAAAATCTGGTGGAGGATTAAAGGGAATAGGAAAAAAGAAACTACTTTCATGCACTGTAATTATAATTATAGAATTTACGACTGAAGAAAATCGTATATATTAAATTGTATAAGATCATTGTACAAAATAAGTAGATAATTTATAAAAGTTAGAAACATAGATTTCATTAGTGAATATTTAGAGAATAAATGAAGAAGATCTGATGCTTAAGCCCCTAGGTCCTATGCAATCGATTTTACTGTCGTAAAACATGCTTTGTAAGAGTCCACTTTCTAATAAATATCGTTAATATGGGTTTTCAACTCCCTGGAAAGTTTCGTTTTATCCTTTATTTATTTCATGTATTTAGATGACTTTTCTGAAACTGTGATATGATCGCAATGCGTAGTTTGATTTATAAATATTTTTTTTAAATATTACCGAAGCATACTATCGAAGCACTACAGTTCGTTATTCATTTATTTACTAACTTTTACCGATCAATTTCTCGTAGGAATTTTCTTTGCACTGTCCGAGAAAGTATGGTCGCTTTCTTGGTATTGACCAAAACATCGTTTTGATCGAGAAACTGATATGAGAAATTTGGTGGAGAATTAAAGTGAATAGGTATTAAAAAAAAAAAAACTTTCATACGCTGTAATTATAATTTTAGAATTTATCACAGAAGAAGATAGCAAGTATTAAATTGCATAAGATCATTATACGAAATTAATAGATAATTTTTAAAATTTAGAAAACTAGATTTCACTTACGTCATTATTTAGAGAATAAATGAAGAAGTTCTGATGCTTAAACATCTAATCTTGACTCACGATCACTGAACGCCACATTACAGTTCTAATATCGATTGCTTTAAAGCTTATTAGTTGATTTATGGACTTTGAGACAAGAATTTTCCATCCGCTTTTTATAGACAATGTGACACACTGTCGCACTGTAAAGGTTATGGAATGTACATGAAAGCATCCGGTTTGGTACAGAAGGCCTTGACTGTAATTCTTGTAATGAACAATTATTTTTTGCATTATAGATAATTATTTAAGTAATCGCATATTTAAAAACCAACCCTAATATATTTTTTTGGAAATCTATATAAGTATCTATTCGTATATAAAAATATCCAATCCGATGGGGATTTTTTGTTTAAATTATCATTGATATTAAAAGCTTCAGTTAATTACACAATGGTTTATTATTTCCAAAGAAATTAACATAAAAATTAACAATAATTTCCATGTAACATAAAGGAAAATAAATAAAAGGTAATTCCTAATATTGGTTTATATAATTTATTTTTTCGTCATTTATATTTTTCTAATCCCTACAATCCAAAATCCTCAATATTCCCTACTTTGTGACAAATAAAATCATCCATAACGACCTTAATGTACCATATGTTTCCGATTTAGCTCAATCGATATACCTATCCTTCCATAATAAACTTCTGAACCATCCGAATCCTCTTGTTTCCAAACTTGCTTCTCTTCTATTCCTGATAACCCTCCGAGGCGTAGTTGCTCTTCATGTTGTACATGTCAAGTTACTTATTTCATATTTACTAGTTGTATTTATCGTTATACAGTTGTAAACTTCAATAATAAAAATTTAAAAAAAATATATATATTTTGCTAAGAAAAATCGACAGCATTGCGTCAGTTGATGTAAAACTTTCAAAAGATCGATTACAAAAGATATAATATTTGCAATAGAACATATGAAAAATATTTAAAACATAATATCTTTGTACCGCATTGTCCTTTTTCAATGATGTTTTAGGAAACAGAGCAGATCGACCTAAAAGTAAATGAAGGCAAAACAAAATATATGATAATAAGCCGAAAATTCCACCCCAATAACAGCAAGTAGAAGGAAAATCATTCCCGAGAGTAGAAAAATTCAAATACCTCAGCGCCACAATAACCTCAATGAATGACCAACGAGCCGAAATAGAAATGAATGACCTGCGTTTAACTATCGCAAATAGAGCTTTCTTCTCCCTTTCAAAGGCATTAAATATAGATAAAGCCAGTTCTAATATACGGCTGTGAGACATGGACACTAACTAGCACCCTAGAAAAATGTGTTGGGAGCTTTGAGAGGAAAATCTGCCGCACGATAATAAATAACCTGAGCGATCTGGGATCCGAGTAGTAATACATGGAGAAGAAAGGCTAATATAGATTTTCTTACAGAAACTGATAAATCAATATCCTATGATATAAAGGAACGGAGGTTGAGATGGGCAGGGAATGTAGCTCTTAGCAATCCTCCTGGATTGACATAACAATTTATGCCTCCAGTATAAGTCAAAAGACTACGTGGAAGGCCAAAAAGCAGATGGAAAGATAGAATCAACAAAGATGCAATAGAGCTACGAGCAGATAACTGGAAAAAAATAGCGGAAGACAGACAGAAATGGAGCAGGCTTGTTAAGGCAGCAAAAGTTTTGTAATGCCAACAGAAAAAATATATACATATATATTATTAATTATAGGTACGATACGGAAAAATGTGCTTAAATTAATTTTTATTGCTACATTGCTCCAACTTAATCACTATTATTAAAGTTACAGTGGCTCAATTATTTTTATTCGTTGATATTTTATTTAATAATCAAAATGATTACAAGATGTTGATTACCATGAGTTGGACAACATACAATTTTGTTGAACATACAAATATATGTTTATTTCTATTTTTATTTCCTGGGAAATATTGAATGTTTCCACGAATAATTAACAAAAATATTTCGATGTATGTATGTGTGTGTATATTATATATGCAAATACCTTTATACAAAACATACGAAGACTAAACCTAACCTAACTTGAACACTCTGCTAACTACAGTGTGCTCGGAGTGATTTTGAATCCAACCGCCATTTTGGAGTAGCGATTTTGAGCTCATATCTTCTTTTTTTCTTTACTTACAGTATTCTACTTAATAGATAATTAGAGTTAACCAAATTTAGCGTCGAATCGCTGTTAAAAGCAATAATAAAAAAGAAGAAACCTAAATTACAGACGAAGCTACCGAGCTGGCTATTAGGAAGGCTGCGGATAATGGACAGCCATCCAAGATCAGCCGATACAGTCAGTCACGCAACTCGCGATTTCACCTTAAAAGAGAATACTTGTTTTTCTGGTTCGGAACGGAAGGTCTGGTTTATTCGATTCCTTATTGGTCCTAATGGCGAGGAAGACCTCGCTAGAGGCGAAACTAAATTAATATAACTCCAAAAACCATCAGTGGTTAAGTATTATAAGTATATATATCTCAGCAAAATAAAGCAACTTTATTCTGGGCCAAAGTTCCTTAAGTTCCAAATTGAGCTATTTCAAAAAATGAATAACTTATAATCTTTATTTACACCTGCTAAAAAAGTATACAAAATCTTTTATTATTATATTTTAGAAAGAAACATTCATCCAAGTGTTTAAAGATTTATGTTTGTGAAATGTTGCTGAATTGACTTTTACAGGAAACATACAACATATAAAATTAAGAATGCATTTTAAATAATAATATTAACAATCAGTGACAGCTTGATTTTCTTGATAAAATACAATGATATAAGAGGCATGGGATGAGAAATGGGCAAGACTAGTATCCATCGACAACTCCTCCTGGTATTATATTTATATTAACTGTTTGGCGAGGAAGACTTATCAAAGATGTATTAAAAAATAAAAATAAAAATATTTTACATAAAATGAAAGTTAAATTAATTGTATAACCTAAAAACCTTAGCTATAAACCCAAAAAAAAAAAAAAAAAAATAAAATAAAGGATTTACATCTGTAATTTAAAATAGTTTTAAAATAAATTCATATAAATATATAGCAAAACAAAAAAAAAGACAGTAATCTATGTATAAAGTTGTAGATTGACAATAATATCGGTGAGGAGTGTATTAAATACACATCGTATTGGAATTGGAATAGAAGGGTTTTAAAAGCGGATAAGGATGTTTGATTGTAGATTTTAAGGGGGATGGGATACGAAAATGAGTGGAACTGTCAATAAGGGAGTGTTGAAATGTAGATCTGTGAAAAGGCGTATAAAGGTCAGAGAGGCGAGATCTTGTGTTAAGGAATCGAATAAAATATTTGAATTGAAGAAGATTGTAGGTATAAGACTGGTTGTGTTTTTTGACTAATTAGCAAAGGAATGTGCATTCCTTTATATATGTATATATATATACGTCTATTTTAGTGTGGTATTTATTTTATATAAGCTATTAATATAACTGCATCATTGAAAATAAAATCTACTTGTTACTACTGTTTTTTTCTTAGCATTATCATAAATTGTATTATTGACATTAAAAGACAGACGTGTTGGGTAATTTATTTTTTATCATTCGTTATATTGTGATATCATGTCTCACGGTCCAGAATCATTATATATTGACCTATCACGAAATTAATTTTAATCACGTGTTTAGCTTTAGCGTGACGGAAGGATTGCTTAAATTAATTAATAATATTAATCAACGACTTAAAAAATATTTACTGCCTTGTATCATAGACTAATTACCAACTTTAACTATCATTTATTAAAAATTATTTCTAGCTTTCTAGCAGTTCTAATAATTTATTGCTTTTAGAAATTTTCATTAAAAATATTTCTTTTCCGTTATTTAATACTTAGAAAAAATATTCATTAATCTTATAATAAATTGCAATGAGAAAAAGTGTTCTCCTTGCACTCACATACGTGTAGATGTCATGATAACTTTCCACTCCTAGACGCAATTTAAAATTATTATTAGAGAACGTTTTTTTGTAAATAAAATCCAAAGGAAAAAAAACATGTTTTGTTTTTTTGTCGCTATCATTCGCTTTTATCTGAAGAACTAATCACCAAGATGAAGGTGAAAAGGATTGTTTATCCTTGTCTATTATTGTACTTATATACATATGAATGAAAATGCCACTCATTATCGCCATATTTTGTTGTATTATATTAAAAAAAGATAAGCGTACTGCTCATAAAAATATTTGCAGTGTTTATGGGTATGATGCATTAACCATACACACTTATAAAAGTTGGTTTTCCAAATTTCGTTCAGGAAATCTTGACATCAATGACTCTTCACGGTCTGATCGCCCCGTGACTTAAGTAATTAAGTTAAGTAATTGCCCGTTAAGTAATTTTAAGGGCATTGATGATTGAAATCTCGCCTTATCGGTGCAAGGGATTTCTAAGATACTAAATGTGTCGTGCACAAGCGTAGAATACCATTTTTAAAAGTTCGACCACGTTTCCAGGTTATTTGAATCACTCAATTTCTAACGGAAGCCAACTTGCCAGTAATGAATGGGATCTTTTTTCTCACCTTCATTATTCATCAGACCTAGCTTCAAACGACTACCACTTATTTCCAACTATGTAGGACTCTAAAACGACATAAAAAATTCAACTAAATCAGTTTTTTCACAATAAACCCTAAAAGCTCTATGAATGTTGCATTATGTACTTAATGGTAAGATGGGAACAGATCATACTAAATAACGATCAATATATTGTAGATTAAAATTAATTTTGTTTCAATAACACTCCGATTTTATTTTACCCTCATAACCAAAATACTTATTTGCCAACCAGTACATTATTTTTACCGGTACAATAGTAATTTAGTTGTTTCACCAGCTTCACTCTAAACTTTATATATTTTGATTTACACTTTATAAATATTATAACGATGACTGATTTAAGTGTATTGGTAAAAAACTGAATAATATTTTAAAGAATTTAGGGACGTATTAGATTTTTACAACTAAGGTTATGAGGA